AGGGGGTCAGGTCTTGTTACCATACACCAGCCCCCCACACGCCCCGGAGCCCCCTCCCGGGAGTCTGGGGCCTCCGCGTGGCTCAGAGGCTGGGTGTGGGGAGGCCCCAGCTGGGCAAGGGGCCACCCTGCAGCTGACCCTGCTCAAAAACAAAACACAACCAAAAATCCAGAGCCCCTCTTCTCACTGGCCCACTCTCCAGTCCCCCGGGCCCTGCCCCTGGATTACCACGTTCTCGATGTTACATTTGGAAAAGTACAAAGACACAAGTCCCGGTGCCATTTTCAGAGCCTCCCTGCTTTGCTGTGTCCTCGAGAATAAACGCCGCTCGGCTGGGTATCACAGCATGGGGATGACGCCCTGCCAGGCCCCGAAGCTCTGTTTGAGCCGAGCTGGACTGAGAAGCACAGGCGAAGGCGGGGGCGGGTTGGGGCTGAGGCTGGACCTCCATCCCTGGGGCCAGCTCCACTGCTGGCTGGCCACATCTCGGCCCATCACAACCCTGCACAGGGGCATACGCGGTGCTCACTGCTTCATGGCAGAAGCTGGGACTCTGAGGCTTGGATGAACAGTAACCCTCTGCTAAATGGCCCTGGGGACCCCTTCCTCGGACGCATGGGCCTGTTTCTGCCCAGCCCGAGTCTGGCCTGCAGAGAAGGAGGGCCGGACGGCCCGTTTCGGCCCTGTTTTAATCTGGGAAGATGCCCACCAGTTTCGGCAGAAGGTCAGGCCGCTGCCAGCCTCCCAAGCCCTATGGGCGTCTGTGTGTGTGGATGAGTTGAGAGGGGGATAATCGCCAGTACTTTGCAGGCCAGGCCCCACAGAACTTGAGCTTCTCACAATGGTTAATCTCGGCCCGGTGAACACCATGCCAAGCAGCGGCTCCCGGTAGGAGCAACACACCTTTGGCAGTTGTGCCCCGTTTCTGGGATCACCCCAACATCCCACCCCAGCCTTCAAGTCTACTGACTGCCCTGATGAAGTCATAAACAAATACCCAAACTGGGGCGGGGGGTGGGGCGTGGGGGCAAGCGGCCGAACGGAAAACACAGCCGAGGGCTGTGCCGTGAGGAAGGAAGCAAACTTTCAGCCTTGCTGCCACGGCCAGCCGGACTGGATTGAAAGGCTCCCCTTGTTCCTGGGGGTGCTTCTACGAGGGGATGGAGAAACCAGGCACCCCACTTTGAGAGAAGTGTGCAGCAGGCCTGGACTGCCCTCGCCTCCGTCCACGTTCCCGGAAACAAGGCAACACAGCCTCCGATGCCAGCTCACGTCTCTCGGCGTTGTGGAAACAGGGCTCCCTTCACCCCATTATTTTGTGGTCGAGGTTATCCAAACCACATCAGTCAGTGGGAGAGAGTGGAGGGATGTTGCACCCGCGATACGATCATATTAAAGGCAGGCTTAATCCCTTTTGGTCAGGGGTTTCATTTTAACACAGGAGAGCTACACGCACGTACAAACACATCTTAAAATCCCGGGTCGCTGAAACCAGTGACCGAACACAAGACGAAGGTACAGCTGGCCAGCAGAAACTGCCTCGGCTTTGGGAACCCAACTTGAAGAAATTAATCTTAGCATCCCCTTCAAGCCCCATAATTACACACTACACATTCCTTCACCCGCTCTCGCTCTCCAAAAACTCTGCAGGGCTGCTGGTCCAGGCCGGCTGTGAGCCACTTCGAAAAGGGCATTTATTACGAAAAGTTATTAGTTATTTTTCGTTTTACGCCACTATAAACAACAGCTTCCACTCAAGGGACAGCCACTCAAAGCAGCCCATGGCGCCAGCATCTGAGCAAGGGTGCCCCAAATCAGTTCTCTGTGAACGGGTGCCAGCAGAGAAAAATAAGAAGAGGGGCTAATTTAAGAGGCGAAGAAAAGATCTAAAAATTTCAAGAAAAAATTATGGCTTCCAAATAATCTTTCCAAACACATCTAATCTAAAAGCAAATATTTTCTCATCTTCCCATTGTGTTTAAGATGCCTGCTAAGGCATATTTTATGTGTTCAACAGGACTCCTGCAAAGGGCCCGCACACCTGAGACAAGAAGGTGCAGCTCACCACGTAGGGCCCCTTCCCCAAGTTCCCGAATTTGAATGACAACCCTGGAGTTCTTGCAAGCTGGGGTGGTGTCAGGTTCCAGAGCAACCTCCTTCCCGTGTCCCCTCATCTGTAAAAGGCCTGTCCTGCAGAAATACTCATCGCAGAAACCCCTTCATTAGTATTTAAATACTCACTAAGTAGCGAAAGTGAGAAATGCACTTACGGTCCTCAGAAGCGTCGCCTTGAACCCGACCGTGACCTGGGGGCGCGCAGGTCAACACTCCTGTCCTTCCCAGGGGAACGCGGCGGAAGCTACCAGCGGTGCGCTAGAGTGCCCACGGCCACACAGGGACGCCTCAGTCATCCGCTCCGAGTCCCAGGTTCAAAACGCTTCTTTCCTTCACGCATCAAAACCGCAAAGAGCGAAATGGTGCCAAATTTCTCGCAACTCTTGCCGGGTGACCCGGCTCCGAGGACAGCCGCCTAGGAAACTCACGGCTCAGTCCTGGCTTCCCTGGGTCACCCACTGCGCCGCCGGCCACTCTGCGCCTTCTCTCCCGGCTCCCGCTTCCTGGTGAGGACCAGCAGACAGCGCCGAGGGGCGCCTGCAGGACCCTAGCGCGCGAGGTCGGGCCGGAGCGGGCAGCTCCAGCGTCTCCGCGTCCACGACGAACGCCGCTGCCGCCGCGATGGACCTTTGTCCCGGACGAAAACGAAAGCGCGCCAGGCCGGGGTCGCACACGCCCTGCCTCGGAGGGCCCGGGCCCGGTGCGCCCCGTGAGTTTCTCTAAGTTTACGTGCCTCCCGGAGGGGCGGGCGCCGCGGGGCCGAACTTGCCGAGCCGGGCCATCGGGCGGCTCACCGGGCGGCGGGCGCAGGTAGGC